AAAAAAACAGGATTTTATACCTTGAACAGCAGATGGCTTAATCAAGGCAGGTTTGTTCTCATCAGTGATTGCCATTTCTTTTTCTTGATTACTAAAACCCCCAAATCAAGAATGAAAAAAAAAATACAATTTTTAACCTTCTTCTTCAGTTACCCCCTCCACCAAGATTGAATCTTTATCAATCTTGATAACTGAAAAACCCCAACTCAAGAATGAAAAAAAAAAAAACTAGAATCTTTAACCCTCTCCAAGATTGAATCTTGATCAATCTTGATTACTGAAAAAACCCAAATCAAGAATGGAAAAAAATAGAATCTTTAACTCTCTTCTTCAGTTACCCTCCACCAAGATTGAATCTTGATCAATCTTGATTAAGAAGAACCAATGAAGAAACAAGAGAGTTGTGAAAAAAGTTTAAACAAATGGAAAGAGGGGGAAGAAAGATAGAGAATGTGAGAAAAAAATGGGAATGTGTCTGGTTAAAAATATAAAAAAAAACACAATACAGATAGACAAAATCTCATTCTTATATTCAAATGAAACGGCTAGTAAAAAAAAAGGGCCGTTGGATTCAATTAAGCATGACTTTTACAGTCCAGCTAGGTAACAACGGTCACCTAAAAGCTGATTTGTTATGACAAGTAGACGTTGCTTTCAAATTAGTGTAAGAAATTAGTTAGTAGTAGTGTAATAGTGGTATAATCTTAATTAACTTACTATAATTAAATGTTGAACTCATTTAATAATATCTAACTTATTGAGATTTGCACTTTTAGAAGACCCATTCTATACGCTCTTGCCCACTTTTACATTTTTGGGCTTTTTGGGAATAGGGCTCCACTTATTTTGGCTCCTCTTACTAATATAGTTTCAAGAAAATATGATGAAACTTTTTGTGGAATGTGACAAAATATGAACTAATATTGCACTAAATTTTGTGTGTGAAATGACTTGTACCCTTTTCCTTTATTTGTCTATGTTTTAGTGTTAGTTGAAAATGTGCATGTTATGATTAGTTAATTACTTTATCCGTCCATTTTTAATTAATGTTCGGTATTAATTTGACACATTTCTAAAAAATAAAGTGATAAATAAAATGATAATTATATCATGTATTATATCATCCTTTAAAGATAATAAGTTTAATATTTTGAAATGACTTTAGTTAAGAACAGGGGTAAATTAGGAATTAAGTGATAAATTATCTCTTAATTTTCTAAACTAGATAAGTAAAAATGAATAGTGGGAGCTAGTTAATCTTTGTTGTTCGTAGGCACTTAGTAATTCGTTGAGATGTATTTGCTATTTCAATCTTAATTATGTGTAATACGTTATCTAGTAATTTATGACAACCAAATTATAAACTCTGAGAACTACTTATAGAAAAGAAAACCCTATTATACATGATACAATTATTACTGCTTTTGATGATTGCACATGAGACTTACTAAAGACAAACGCATTAACCTTATTAAAATTGTGTTTATTACTTATTATTGGTTAGTTAACTAATTTTTGCTGTTCGTACATAATACGAATGATTTGTCAAAATGAATTTAGAATTTCAATCTTAATTATGTATAATAATATGTACTTATAACACTTATGCATTGGATGAATTGCATATAATTATTGATTTACGAAAGACTAGTTAGGCTTTGTCGTTCGTACGTAATTAATCAATGACTCATTAAAATGTATTTATAATTTCAATCTTGATTATGTACAATATGTTATTATCTAGAAATTTATGATAACGTAATTATAAATTCGTGTAACTTTAAAATAAAACAACCCTATGTACAACTATTATGGCATTGAATGAATTACGTAACAAATAGTTTTGAATCATGTTTGATAGGTATATAATGAATTTCTTCATACAAAATCTAGAATTTTATGACAACGTAAATTATAAATTTATCAGAATAACTTTAAAATGAGATAATCATACCATACAACTATTATGACATTAAATAAATTACACAACATACACTTACTAAAGACAAGTGCATTAATTCAACCATGCTTGATATACAATATTTAAAATTGAATAACCTAATGGAAAATATTTTCTAAGTACTTCAGAGACCTGTTACAAAATATCCGTTAAATTTATGACAATATGGTTCATAACTGATATTAACTTTATTAAATGTGACAACCCATTACAATTGTTACACCACAAAGTTAAATAATGTCAAATTAATTTTCGCATTGACTTGAACCATGTTAACGTTATTGAAGTTGGCTTGTAAATTTAATTGAGATAAAATAGATTACTCGTTTATCTGTAAGATTTAATTTTGAAACTAGATTTAATCACACACAAAAGTTAACATTGATAGTTGATTATCATGAAGTTAAATAGATTTGCAACCTTGATTGCAAAATTTAGGAATATTAAAGAAGTCGAATAACGTAACTACGGAATTATAAGGTCAAGCCATGCATGCACAGATAGAAGATAAAGAAGATTAATTTTTATTTTAAAAAAAGAATTCATTAGTTAATACTCAATTTGTTTCAATTTGTTTGGTTTGATTCGGAGTATGAGGATCAGAGTTACTAATTTTTAATGTAAATTCGGACAAAAGTTTTTTATAAAAAAAACAGTACATATTTAGAAATAATATAAAGAGTATTGGTTAGAATAATTAATAATTAAAAATACACAGAAAATATTATGGTCAAACAGATACTATTTGACTCTCCAAATAGTAATTAAGAAAATAAATTTGAATTGCTAAGCATTAATTGAAAAATCAATACAGTAGATACACTATAAAATATAAATTGCTAGAATTTACAAATACTAGCTTTACCAATTCTTAATTCGAAATTCAAATTCCTAGTTTTAACTTTTATAATTGATTTAACAGTAAAGGAGAAAATAAAATTCATATGTTATAAACGAGTAGTTTTTCCCCTTAATCTTATCAGTTAGATATTGCAAAAGTTTTTGCATTAATTGTGTAGGCTGTAGCACAAACAGTATTTTAAGGCAAGGTTTATGACATTGCCTTTTTAACAAGATATAATTTTAATATTTCAATCGGGAAGTGCTAAATGGCCAGAAAATTTGGTCAGAATTTGCCAGAAAATTTGGCAAGAATTTGGCCAGAAAATTAAAAAAAATTATAATATTTTTTATTTTAAAATAAACTGATCTTTTTTCCATTTTTTAATTAAAAGGTATTAAAATTAAAAGGATAAAAATATTTAAAAATATAAAATATCATTCTGACCAAATTTTTTTTTCCATTTCAATCTACATACAAGGATACTATTTACTATTGGTATTACAAAACAAACTTGAAAGAAGTCTCTCTCTCAGGCGTTTCTTAATTAACATACACTGAAAAAAATTAATTATTATTTTCACTATCTATTTTGCATGTCATATTTTTTCTTACACCGTCTCTTAAAAAAATATTAACTAAAACTCTAAAAGAACAATATTTACTCTTTAATTTCAATTTAATGCTATTCTCTTTTACAACACTTTAATCTCTCTCCATTTATTGAGAAGTAGTGAAGATGGAAATAAATAATTAGTTATATCTTAATTTTTTAAAATAACAGTTATTTTTAATAAATACGAAAATTAAAATGGATCGGAAAAAGTAAAATGGGTTTATGAGCATAAATATGGAGGTTCATAAACGGAAAGCCATAAACTTTTTTTACTACCGTCGATTGTATTAGTTTAAGAAAAAATCCTTTTAGCAAGAAAATTTAAAATCCTCTTGCAAAATCACTGTGTGCCTTTTGGTCTGCAAGTGATTTATGAAATTTACTATATATTAATTATTGTCTTATATGTGTGCATATAATTAGTGTAGCAGGCATGTGCCGACATGCTTTATAATGTCAATTTTTAAAGTGTTATCTCCTCTTCAGGATTGAATTAAAGTTATAATCCAATAATTTTATACCTGAGAATGGGGAAACTTCCTTTCTTCTTCTTTTTTTTTTTAAAAAAAATATTTCTCGCTCGATATTTGATATCTAAGTTTAGAATTTAACTAATTTGAATTTGTGTCGAGAAGTTTCACTTTAGAGTATAATGTTCTATCAAAATTCAAAAGTGACTTCATACCCTAATGAGACATCGCGATTTTCAAAAAGTTCAACTTTAGAGTAATGCACTTTCTGTTTCATATTCAAAACTCAAACTCAAGAGAAATACTGATCCAAGTGAAAAACTTCCTTCCGCTTCCATTATTTTCAGAGATGTGAATCCTTTTCATGGTCTCAACTGTACTTTTCCTCTTCTTTTTTTTCTTTTCAAAATGTAATCCTCACCTATCATCTAGTTGGCTTCATTAACTACAAGAGCCAAATTCTTAAAAACATTTTCTCCGATAGTTATTCCTTACATTGGAAAATTTGAACAAAAAAAAAGTGGGGAATAGGTACTGACACAGTCTGAGATAATAAGGACCATGTGTCCAATAGGTAATCTGTTAAAGGCACGTGAACATTTATTCTACTGTCCTCCGTCCAACAATAGTTATCCACTATTTTGAGATATCCAACAATACTCATCCACTATATGAAATCATTAGATAATTTTACACTTATAGTCATTTCCCTATTGCATTATTCAAAACATTGTATTTATTATATTCAAATGGTGATATAGTAAAATTACCCTTCTATTTACAATTTTTTATGAAGTGTACAAAGTCAATAGTAGATAGCTATTGTTGGACAGAGAAAGTAAAAATTATAATGATAAGAGGGGGATAAAATGAAACATTGAAGACAGCTTACAATGAAATGAATGACAAGAAGAGAGAGAACAGTACTTCAAACATGAAAATGAAAGTACTACTAAAATTGAAGCCTACCAATTGATATGTAATGGAGTAATAATACCATGTCACAGTCAAAATATGGCAGTTACGGCTCATTCTATTGCCATGTACATGAGATCTAGACACTCCTATGGTAATAAAAAAAAGTGTGTGTGTGGGGGGGGGGGGGGGGGGGGGGTTAAACATGGTAAGACACAGCTCTTGCTCCTTTTTTGAAGAGGATATGATTTTACAAGATACAGTTAAACTCACCTCCTGAAAAGATCTGAAAGTGTTTGGTTTCCAGCTTTTGGTTTACTCTTCTCATCCGAAGCCAACTTACCTCCCTTCAAATAATGTTTTCTGCTATGTAACGACTCACTCTTTTCCTCCTTCTGTTCTTGTGAGGAATCACGCTTCTCTTTCAGCTTGTGCTGCTTGGTAGTCGCACCATTGTCAACATTGTGTATAAGTTTCAAATGGTTTGCCGAAGTCTGCTGATATTTATTGCCTCCCTTTTGCTCTTTTTTGTGAGACGGCATTGGATGCTTCACTGCTTCAAGCACCATTCTTGTTCCATTCTGTGGCAATTCACTCTGCTCACCCTTATTTTTTTTCTTAGTTAATGCATCCCCGTTATCCAGTTTCTGACTAAGAGATTCATTATCATGCTTCTCGACAGCCTTCTCCTTGGATTGCTTGGCAATAACCGTGTTCCGCTTCTCATCTCTATTATGTTTAATTTCAGTTCTTGTTCCATTCTGCAGCAATTCACTCTGCTCAACCTTACTTTTTTTCTTAGTTACTGCATCCCCGTTATCCAGTTTCTGACTAAGAGATTCATTATCATGCTTCTCAACAGCCTTCTCCTTTGATTGCTTGGCAATAACCGTGTTCAGCTTCTCATCTCTATTATGTTTAATTTCAGAACTTGCATTGGGCTGATTATCATCTTCACACACGAACTTCCTTTTCTTGAACTTCACATTTCCACCCATATTTTCCTTCGGAGCATTTTTACTCAATTGAGCATCAATTTTAACCAGGGTATGTTTGATCACTTCACTGCCTGGAATGACCCCAGGAGCTATCGTATCAAGGATGACTTTACCGAGAACAAACCTTGTCTCACGCGTTTGTCCTTTCCCAAGCAGAGTATAATCTATCTCAAAACTATTCCTCCTGGTTTTGAGAGATCTCACATCTCCTATCAGAACGTCAAAAATTACTTCAACGACCTTCCTCATGTTCTTAGATACAAACACCTGAATATAAACTATCTCATTAAATAGTCAATCAATGTCTACAATAATAATAGAGCAATCACCACTACAGGCTTTAAAAACTATGAACACTTCACCAAGAAATTGACAATTTTTAGACACTGCTGTTGTTCTACTTTATTCAAAGCACGAAGAATCATGACTAAATAGGGATACTGTTGGCAGAGGAGGAGTTTCTGCTAAATCACCATCTCTTCAATGTAAAAGCTGAGGTGATTTCCCGATGAATATAATGAGGCCTTTTAGATGTGGAGAGAGTGTGAAGTTTATTCCAAGTGTAACTCATCCGAAATACCTAGAAAAGTTGAATGAAAGGCATACGTTGAAAATGTAACCAAATAAAGAACACTCTTCGACAAGAGTGGGAAATATGAAGCCGTCTTAATTGCAGGAAATATTGTGACTCCACCTTTCTCAACATGTCACCTTTTTCGAATTTATACGAAGCTCGAGGCTTGGAGATTCCCTGTGATGGACTGCCCCTTAGATGAGAGGGATAGAAAACCGTGGATAATCTGCTCCCTGTGAATATGGAAAACTAAATTTGCTAAACCAAAAGATGGTCTGATCAGTCAATACTACTTCAGATCCTATGTAAGCAGCAGGGGGTTTAAATCATTGTAAGTGCTCTTTTGCAGTGCAATGCACCAGCTTCAAAGAGGTTATAAACGTTTTAATGTCAAGGTATAAACAAATGAGGTATTGTGGAAGATAAGGCAAACTACTTCGACTTTATCTCTGGATAAGTCATCCAACCAGACCACCTGCAGATCTGCAATCTGGGATCCTACCATTACATTATGACTAAATGTAATATGGAATAGCAAGCACCCAAGAGCTAAGAAGGCTTCATCGAAAGCTTTGAAAGAGTGGGAGAAAGGGGACGCATGAGTGTTGGATAATGAAAAGAAGGTAGAATTGAACGGGACCTAGTGGTCGATGCTTTTTCTTTTATAGGTAGGGTTGGGCAGCAACTCTACTCCTTGAAGTGAAGAATCGAAAGTCGTTGTTCGTTAGACAAGGACCACATGAGTTCAACTCTCAGTGGAGTTAAAAAAAACTAGGTGGTTTCTTTCCATTCGTGTGCCTTGATATGGAGCCAAGAAACCGAAGTAAGTTTACTTACCAAACCAGAGCATGGGGAACCTGGGAACTTGGACATTGCTTCCTGGAGGCTGTCCTTATCAGTCAAAATGTCTAAAGAATTTTGCACTAGCACTGCCAGCTCTGTAACTCTTTCCACAAGCTCATCATCTGATATGGAGCCTTGGGAATCTGAAATTTCAGGTGCATAAATAGATGCAGCATCAGAATGTCTTCTAGCAAAGTTAACACCTTCCTTCCAATTTCCATGGTACAACACAGAAGCAAAAGTCAGGACGACAAATGCCCCTTGAGGATCAGTGATTAGTGCTAGATGAAATGCCAAGAGTGCAACCCTGCTCACATACATCAATCAAAAAGGAAAAATATTGTCAAGAATCATAGTCACTAGAAGCCAATTTCTCAACACTAGCTCAAGCCTGAATCATCCAATAGACTTTCAAAAGGCGATAACACCAGTGAACTGAAAAATAGCAGACAGTTTGATTGCAGAAATCCAGATTATGACTTATGAGCTGCTATGCTGATAGTGAACTATTAACATGACTCCCCAGGTTTCATGTGGCTGGATGTAGTCAAAATGCACTATAGAACCATGAAATGCACCAAGCTGAAAATTATAATCAAGCAATGCACAATAATGGTCATGCTATTTTATGCAAATGGTAACAAAAACAATAAGGACCAAGCTATTGCCTTCCCCCAGCTTAAATCTACCATCATACTCCCTATAGTGTTGAACATACATGAGTTCTTCAACATTTGAGATGTGCAAATGCTCCTAATTGTCAATTTAAATGCTAAATGCAGGAGCAGAGTAGAAGTACCAATCTAAGATGCATAAGAAAGGATGATCCCAACTTAGGCTTTTGATATAGGAAGAGGCAGCACGATGTGCCACAGAGATGGTCCAGAATGTGAACACAAAGTAAAGACAAAAGTTGTTTTTTATTCTCCAAAACTTCAATCTCCTTCTATTTCTTTACCACATTCATGATTGTATTCAGTGTGAATTCCCTTGGCATGTGAAGTGAAATGCAAGTTGCCAAAACCAGAAGAGGTGTTTCAATTTTTTATTGAGAAGGTGGAAGAGGTGTTTCCATTTGCCAGTGCTTATAAAACAAGTGGCATTCTAGCAGGCCTCTGATTGATGAGAAACCATAAACAAGGGAGATCTTAAACCAAAAACAACTTACAAGTTACATCAGAATGAACGAGTAGTAGAAGACGACCACAAGAGAACAAAATCCCAAAGATGGGTGTTAAGAACTTTACTCCAAAGCACAAAAGAAATCAAAAGTTAACTCCAAATATTCTACCCTAAGCTATAAAAGCACTGAACCTTCAGTTAACCAAACAATGATATCTACTGCAAACATCAACACTCCGGACCAAAAGAGAAAGAATACTTCTCCTATAAAGCTATTAGCTATGATGATCGAACAAGATAGGTTAAACCTCAGTAGTTAGGACTTTAGGTATATAGCTCACAAAATGGTGATAGTTTGGGGAGAGGGGGTTTAGTTTATATTATTCACTTTTATTTATTTAACTTTTTTTGCCCCCATGCAAGATCGAACTCAAGTAATAGCGGTTTGAAACAGAGGTCCAGAACCATTGAAAAACACCTCATATATGAATACAGCTCTCAAAATGACAGTAAACACTAAAAGAATGATAGCCAAAGACAAAAACTCTCACTTTAGGAAGAACATGACACACAAGGAAATGAAATAACACTATAAGGTAATTGCAGTAATTGTTACACGGGTGAACAAAGCACCCATCTCAAAAGAAAAGAACCAAAAAATATCAGTTACCAAGGCCAGATGTGATACTTAGTTCAACAATATATCAACTTACACAAACTATCTCCACCAATGGCTAGAAATTAACTCAACTTACCACAAACTATCATGAGAAGGTCGATCACAGGTAACTAGTTGATCCAAACTGGAAAATAGGTTCTGCAAAATGTTCAGACCAATAAATTTAATGCGTGAAACACTACTAAAAACTCAACAAAAACATGCATCAGGCAAAAAGACAAATATGCCCAGACAAGTGCATGCATGAGCTCACATATGGGGGGAAAAGCTAGACTTCAGGAGGATGCATGGAAACAAGCAGTCCAGAGAAAATATGTACACAAATATAGGAAGAGTTGACATCAAATAAGTGAGGAAGCACATAGAAGGAATTATACAAATTTATGGAGTAAAAAAAAATACAAGATACGAAGATATACCATCAACATAACAGAACTTTCACTCAACTGTTTGTTAGACTGTTGAGCAAGGTGTGCTGCCTGTAAATGACACATTTAGTCAAGTATAAGCTACTGTCCTGAACCAAAAAATCATGGAAGTCACATCATACCAAAATGAAATGAAACAATATGACATACATGAAATGGTAGCAGCATTTCAAGGATGCTGTATCTCTGAAGTAAAGAAAGAGAAGGCTCTGCAGCTCCATAAGACAGCATATAGTTGACTTCCATCATTAATCTAGACTGCACAAGAAAAAAATGAGGCCATGCAGGCAAAAACTACAAACCAAGAAGCAGTTATATAGAAAGATTTCATTGTGGTTAGGAATCTTTTTAGCATCAGGGATGTCAGGCAATGAGAAGAAGGCATAATAGCATAGAGAAAGCTAAACCTTAGGAGGGTTAAACTTAAAAGAACAAACAGAGGTAATTAAATAAGTTAACAATGGTTTACATGAATTAATTGTTCATACCTTGTTCAATATCATTATGGACGGTGAGAGTTTGTGCATAGCAATTTCAATCTCCTTTGAAAAGGACAACTTGAGGCGAGCAGCCAGTCTCAAGCCACGCAAGATCCTTGCTGAGGGCAAAGCAAATCCAGGATCAGTTCCATAAAAAATTATAAAAGGAAGGCATTATGGTAAGTTCATGTGACTCGTCTTCTATTTTTTCAATTCACCAGCCCTACGACCTCCTCCTAACTTTTAGAAATGCGTACTCTTACTAGTAAGACCTCTGAAAACGCTTTTCATGTTCACCTGACATAAGGAATGATGTTCAGTTGGTTCACGATAGATGGAGTCGATGGGATAGTGTTTTCTCAAAGCACATAAAGAATATTTTTTTTATGATTGATGGAATGAAAAAATATGACCTTTTCCGTCAAAACTTTTCACCAAACTCTTCAACTCATCCTGTTACCTCCATGTTTATGCCTAATGACACGTTCACCTCCCACAATCCACCTAGGGAGCATTATCGCCCGCATCTTCAAGGCGGTTCAAGCACCACTCTGCCCCTTTTCACCAGCATGCTACTAGCACTCTTTCTCTCCCCCAACCAAGTGGCACAAGTAACAAACCCAAGCTTTCTCTGATGAAACAACAAGCCCCATTCTAAATATCCATGTTCCTCATTTCCTCTGTGCACTTAAAAAAAACACCTATCTCATCCCTCCTTTGACAAAAGACAAACTCCACTTCAGACACAATCTCAACAAGAATGATCCCTCCACCATATATTACTTAAAAATACAATCCTGCATTAATGATCTGATACAGAGTGATCCCTTTCTGCACAAACAAGTTATGCAGGAGCTGTAATACAAAGATTTGTAGAACAATGAACAAAAGTTATTTAAATATTTAGGGCGCGTCTATTTTTGGTCAGATATTTGACTTATTGTATTAATAAACTGGACATACTATGGACAATCTAAAACGAGTATTAGATTTTCAATTGAGTAACAATTTTTTCCAGTAATAACTGTCGTCTTAAATCCAACAATATCCTTGGCTAACATGTCACTTCTTTGTCATCTTCAAGAACTATATAACAACAACTAGGCTCAATCTCAAACTAGTTGAGGCTGGCTCTATTAACAAAAAACAACAGGATCAATACCAATGTACAATGCATGAATTGTAGTTCTAATTCTCAAGTCAAGGCACATCTCTAAAATAGTTGCACCTACCACAATCCTCTTCAAATGACAAGTGTGCTGGTACCAAAGTCCTTAACTGCACAAATATGACAAAAGACTTTGTAAATTCCAAAACACATCAAAATGAGGCCTTCACATATTTGAAGTAAAATAATTTCACCTGTAAAGATTTTAAGTCCACTATTGCATCGGCATAATCATAGATTGTATTCACGGACGGATCAAAAAACAAACTGTTACCACAATTTTACAAACACAAAAACGAGTTACTAACACCACAATGAACTGTTTCCACAATTTCATACACACAAAATGAGTGAACTAGCATGACTATCCAAAAAAAATTAAGAGATCCAATCAATCACCTAAAAGATAAAGAACATCTATAAACAGGAAAAAAAATAAACTTTTTGAACTGCAGACAAGCATGTATAGACTGTAATACAAATGTGTTGCTTTCCACCAGAATAGAGAACTGTGGAGAGGTTCTTCAAAAGAAAATGATTAACATGCAAATAGTCTCCCCAATAATATTGATCCTCATAGTTCAATCGGGATAAGGATTAGCGGAGAGGTTCTAACCAGTCCTGGAAACTAAAATAATTTTCCAACAAAAATCTACATTGCTTTCCGATAAGAATCGAGCTCTTTTTCCTTGCGACATATTTTGTTTTTTAAAACTGCTTCTTTTTATATTATTTTGGCTGTTCAAAAATAAATTTTTATAGCAAATGAAGATTTTAGGAAATTTTACTCTATTATGTTTTTAGCTTTTTTTATAAAATGCAAATGTTCCCTAAAACAAAACTCAAAACGCATTGGTTTCCAAAATCAAAACCAGATCAACAATATACTTGGTTTCAAAGTTACCAAGTTAAAAAAAAAAAAACATACTCGATTTCAGAACAACACTGCCTAAGGCCATCTTCAGTTCTTCATCTTTTATATTACACCCTGTTCTAAATGATGAGATCAAACTGACAGAATCAAGTGAACCAGTGATCTTGTATAGCTACAAGAAACAATTTGCCTAGCTGTACCTATAATGAAGCCACTTATCACGCCAACAATTTCTCATACTTCTACTTCCCACCTTGGAGTATCCAACAGCAACTCCAAGTTCCAACTTCTTAATCAAAGCTCAAGGCATGGCAATGCTTTCCGATCTCATTCACTTTTCTCATCCAAAAGGATGTTGATAAAGCTTGATGATTCATCCAAAAGTAGGTATTCAGGTGCGTTTATGACGTCATCATGGACCCCACATAGGAAATCAAACACGAGACATTGTAGCAGTACCTCCCAAGGATCCCACGAAATGGAAAACACAAGGACATTATTGCACTACCACCGCACTAGTAAACTTCTCGTTTTATACCTTGTCTCTGTTACTAAATAAGGTTATGATTCTACATTGCAAATAAGCACCATATTAGGTTTCTAGATATTAGTTGAGGACCACAACATGGATAAATTGAGCATGGCAGTGCACAGCATAGATCCTACCTCTACATGTCTGTCACCACACTGCATTCCTCCATTTTTCTATCAAGACCTTTGCCCACTATCTCCTATAGTTCTATAATTACTATCTTTTCCATTATCTTCTGAGCATAGATAAATGCAATTACTCAAATAAAATGTTAATGTATGATTAAAACAACAATTTTGTTATGAGTTCCAATTTTTCAGCTTTTCTTTGCGCTATGGCTGCCTACATAGATATTCATTTTGGGTTGGTGGTAAGAGGAAGCAGACCGGGCATTGGAACCAAGACAAAATCGAGTCCACCAGTAGAATTGAACAACCTACGAAGCCTTCCAGATCTCCCTTTCCCAGGGAATAATTTACAGAATAGAAATCAGATTTAGCTCCATTTTCTTAAGGGAACAAAGAGTAGAGAGATACCTGTTAACAGTGAAGTCTCGGTGCATGGAATCCTTCCAGAGAATGAAATCCTTCTGATGAAATTTCTTTGGCATTTTAGGAACAGAAAGTTTCTCACTTGCTCCGGTTGGTTTTGCCCCAGTATCAAAACTTGATACCTGAGAGACGGAAATCCGAATTCTTCACTACTTAAAGTTGTATAGTGTGTGAAATATGATAACCAATATATGCAGCCATCTAGGAGAAAAAGACTTCAGATATATTGTCTGTCCAATATAAGTTCAAAGGGAGGTAAGACACCAATGGAAGTTCTTCAATGAATGTTCTCCTTTTCTTAAACAATGAATAATTTTGATCAAAATGATAAATTTACAAATAACAAGTTAAAAAAAAAAATTAAACAATTTAGAAAATGATAAATTTACAAATAAATTTGAACAGTAAGACTAAACCACTTCTCACTTCTCAAAGCACTTTAGTGACTTTCATTTTACAGCAATTACCTACTTATAACAAAAGATAAGTATACAAATGTGAAATACACCATGCCCATGTACAGACATACAAGTATAGAATGTGCAACAGATCTATAGCATAAAGCTGCACCAACCTCCACAATAGAACCATTGACATGTACTCTACATATTGGAAACCGTCGTCCAACAATTATTGCACGATGAAAACGCCTTTTTATCTATGACAAATAGAACAGACCGACATAAATATTGAATCATGGGGACGAGTAGTTGAAACCAAACATAACTGGCTCGTTATTAGGATACTATTTGAATGTATCTTGGACCTGCGGAAGCCTTGCAGTTGTGATTACATCAAAATCTTTTGGTATTTTATTGAGAATTAGATCTCTGACACATCCACCAACCAAGTAAGCTTCAAACCCTGCATATTGCAACTTTTGGTCAAAGGCTAACCTTCACGCAGTGAGATATCTAAATATGAACACGCACGCAAACTAAGTAGTGCCAAGACATGGGTCAAATACAACCAAGGAAAATGTGCTTAAACTAGTATCTTATTGTGTGGCTCTCATCCAAGCAAACTACAATTTATTGGGAGCTTAGATAGTGACTATCTTTAACTGAGAAATCCGGATAAACAACAAAGCATCATATGTAAGTATCACCTCCACTTTGGAGACTCTTCAGAACCGTCCATGCATATGCTGGTATCAAGGAGTTACTTATCCCAAAGTCCCTTGAGTAAAGCTTCCTCCACTTTGAGAAGTCAATTTCACCTGCATCATCATCATCACAAATCATAGTGTTACTACTAATCACATAAAATCCACTCATCTGACCTGCAAACCATTGCCTCTCCTGAACGCAATGGAACAGAAACACCTTCCCTTTATGTGTGTAGAACATTATGACACTGGACTTAACAGAAGCACGTTCTTGTTAATACTGATTTATGGAATTCATGGCAAATTCTTGTTGAAAAACGTTTAATACTAACACATCATGCTTTTTTTTTTTTGAGTTCTTCAAAGAATCCACTTGGCAATAGAGACTGCACCAAGAACCAAGAAAGAATAACTAAAGAAAAATAACTAGGAAGAATCAGTGTTTACCAGCATCAACCACAGACCCAGAACCCATATTAGCAGAGTGCTGTTCCCGAAGTTTGTCTTTAGAATACGTGTTGTGATTAAATTTCTAGAACACGGAAATTCAAGAAAAATGTTATAAACTGTTCGACAATTTGCCTGAACGAATATCACAAGAACAAGATAATTAAGTTAGCACCTGAAAGACAAGAAAGGCTTTAAAGCGCGACAGCAAGAAATTGGGTTTGGTTTGTTGGGCTAGCGCCGCCATCAATTTTATTTATAATTTAAAGAAACATGGTTGCCGTTTGAGAGCGGGATCAAGAAAAAGGCGCCTCTTTCATGTCTGCTGACAACAATGTTTGCGGCTTTGATTTAGCCATTTAGGTCACACGCTCTTACAATCCAAAAATTGGGTTAATATAAGCAATCTTTTGGCAACCTTCGATTTGTGGGTTTCAATTTTATGCCTAAATCTCTCATAAAAAAAAAAGATGAATTTTTTTTTATCCAGTTTCTTTTTTGTGTGTGTGTTTTTGTTCAAATATACAGAGTAAAAAAACATTTGAGTATTCAAATGGTTACATGACTTTATTTTTAATATTTATTTAAAGTTTTATCAAGTAACATTTTTAGAGAAGGTATTTAAAAGGAAATAAATTTGTCACGCAATTTAAGTATTTAGAAACGGAGCCAGACCAAAAGCAAATTTCACAGTATGATTGATACTACAAGGGAAACTACTCACGACAGATAGATTGATCAAATGGGGACTCATCGTGGAAGCTAAATGTATCATCTGTCAATAGGAAAATGAGTCCACAAATCATCTCTTTTGGAATGCTCTTTTACCAAAAACATCTGGTTAAGACTCCTCAAATGGTTACACAAGGAGGAATTGATAAGAGACACTAGGGACCAATTCATGCACTAATATTATTAGCAACTCATAAAGAAGATTTCAGTCTGCTTAAATTTTTGAATGTTCCTAGCTGAATTCATTTATTGTTTATGGATGAAAAGAAATAAAAAGATATTTGAGAAGAAAATTAGATGTCGAGAAGACATAGCAAAGAAAGTGGTGTATATGTGCAACGTAAGAGCCACCACTGAAATCATAATCTTAGTCCAAAACAATTTATTTTAAACCCATCACATAGTTGGATAGTTTTGCTATAGCTTGATGTTTTATGAGTTTGTTTGACTGTGGGACCTCATCTTTGTAAATTTTCTTTACTATGGTGATTAATACAAGTTCAATTACCAAAAAAATATATAAAAAAATACAATAAATACAATGTTTTCAAAAATGTAATAGGAAAATGATTATAATTAATGATACGGATAAGTATTGTTGGACATCTTAAAAATAGTATAATAGATAATTATTGTTGGACGAATGAAATATAAAATTATATATTTAATAACAATTTTGAGGAAGCTAAAACAAAATCAATATATATATATATATAAACACAAAAACTATTTGTCATTGAATTGAATTTTTAAAGACCAGCATCTAGCATTCAAAAAATTTCCCAAAATATGTCTAGCTTGAGGTTTGAATATCCAAACTCAGAACATAATTGGACGATCCAACACACCAAGAGGCAGTCTTTGTCAAGCAAAGCCAGTTTGTTCATTATATCAAATCATAAAGTGATATTATGTGACACCCTTTTCTCAATTTTCATATTCTCTTATATAAAATCATATTTTTAATAAAGGTGGAGACACATAAATTTTATATCTTCTTTGTAAAGTAATGTATACTACTCACTCTCTTCCTATTTAATTGTCACTGTTTTAGATTTCATGTCCTTTAAAAATATATGCAAGTTTATCATTGCATTCTTATTTAGTTTTCTATTAAAGTTAAGTTTCTAATCAATAAACATGAATTAATTTATTTGACCAATGTACATATTTTCAAGACTAGTAATCTATATATTTATATTTATATAAAGGAGAAATATAGAGGAGGTGATGTGGCACCTCTATGTGACCTCCATTCACATTTGTCTTTTTTCTCTTCTTTTTTTGGATTTTTTTTCTTTCTTTCTCTATATAAAAATTGATTAACAAAAGCCTTAAATATTTGGACAATAAATCTCATGTAATTATATTGAGTCAGCCCACGTTGTAGCAGTAACCTAAGATGTTCTTATCATAAAAAATTATTACACACGTTCAATCTCTTTTATGGAGAATAACCGATTCGTTAGGAAGTTTAAAAGTGACATCAATTTTATTGTCCAGAAATATATATAAGAGGAGAAACTCATCTTTATTTCCTACTACTAAGCCATGAAATGTGACTGCTTCTTCTTCTCAATTTGTCAGGTTTGAACTTTGATCTGAGCTGCTATTAACACAACAATATACTTTCTTTGGTATGTCAAATTTATTCTTCTATTACATTCTTTTCCCCCTTTTCTTATGCTTCAATTTTTTATTAAAAAATATTATCACATAGTAGCCAAAGCCTATAAACAATTCAAAGGTTCCTTTTGTTTTTTAAATTATAGTTTACGTTATTCATTATTAATTGAGATGTAATAATCTTTTTTAAAGTATCGTCATTTTTCTTTGGTCTAATGGATAAACTTTGTTTAGATCTTCATATTTTTTCATGCTTAACTGATAGTATATCTATGACCATCTCAACCTTGTAAAATATTCTGAATCTCAATTTTACAATAGTTTATAAATGCAACTGATGAGGTCTTGAAAAATATAAAAAAACAATTTCGACAAAAATCAAATAGCAAAAATATTAGATTGAAAATACAGAATTGGATACAAATATGCTTAGAACTTAGAAGAAAGGGAGACGATTTACCGAAACAAGAATAGTAATATAGAGGAGACATTGAGTAGAGAACAAAGGGGAAAGGGAGAAAAGATAGCAAAAAAGAATCGAATGAATGAAGTTACAAGGAAGAAGAAAATATATTTTTTGTTTGCATCAAAATGAAATTGCATGTATCATGTATTTTATTGCCTTTTCAAGCAATCAAAAACTTAAAAAATGATTAATATATTCAAAATAATTTAATATTTAGGGAATATCATGTCAATTCATCATTTTTAGGTTGTGATATGATTCTGAAGAATAAATTGGATATGAACAATTTCAATAAAATTTTATTCTTGAACAAAAGTTTATTTCATGATGGAAATTCTATTAATAACCGAAAAAATTTATTTCATGATGGAAATTCTATTAATAACCGAATTGGATCTAATGTAGGGATTTGCCGATGACGCTAATATGGAGAAAAGTATTTTGTAATCTGTCGTTGTGACTCAGTATCAAGAAATCATACGACAACAATCTATGATGATTATGTTTATTTTCCTACATTTTCTAAATATATTTAATTGTATTTATGCATATAAAGATCAAGCATAATATTTAAATTTTGTATATGTGTATATATAATGAAATAGTTATATATATTTGATATTTTTCTTAATTTTTCTATTTATATAATTTATTATTATAAAATCTAAAGTTATTCTTAATTACTTTCTTTTAATTATTCCTCTCTTTTTTAGTTTAGAAAAACCCAAGAGTGATTATCATTAAGTTGGCAATTTAATGACTACTTACTATACAATAAAATAACAAACATGTATATATTCTTTAGATGGGGATCTCCTTTTTTTTCTTTTCTTTCTTTTGACTTCTTTTGTTCCATTATTTTCTATTTAACAATTTTTTATTTCTAACGGAATTGAATAACTAATACATATTTATGAGACTTTTTCATTTTCTTAATCCGTTTTTCATTTCTTTCGTGTTTGTAGATGATCAACAATTATTTAATCTCATTTAAGTTTAATTTACAATTAATATATATTAATATTCATGCATTTAATCTTCTCCCATATTCCTTGGGTTTTCTCAAATTCTTCATTCAAATATATCCCATGTAGTACTTCAGATTTGCAGTTGTAAGCTTATGTCTAAAAGTCTAATTTTCATATATTTTTTTATTTTTTATTTATAATGGTGTGATCTTTAGATCAACTTGCGCGTGCATTTTAATTAATTTCATGAGATAAATGTCACCTCTCGTCAACAATAAATACCAGGTCATTATTTAATTTGTTTCAATTATTTTATGTTAGATAAGTAGGAAGACAATGAAGACAAAGAAAGAATGTAGATCTTCATTCACTATTTTATTTGTTTAAAACTTTGTTTAATCAAAATTATCTTGTGAGATTCATATTTTTTTGATTTGGTTGAATTTATTTGTACGTGCAATTAAAAAGACCAATAATAAGAGATTATATAGAAATTGAAAAACATAGAAACAACTACTAACACGAAGAAGAATTTGCTTACAGACACATTTGTGATAAAAAAGAAAAAATATTAGAATAATTTATATTATTATGTTGGTTCTTCCGTAATATTCCTAGTTATTTGTTCTCCGGTTAAGATTATTGCTCCCAAATCTTAAGTCCCAACTCCTAACTGATTGAATAATTTTCATATTTTCTAATTAAATTGAATAAATATTGTGTTATACAATTATACAAATATTTATGATTCTTCATATTATTACATAGTATACTTTGCTTGGGAGAGTTATTTCAATATCTTTCATATATAATATACAAGGCACAATAATGAATATTATCATAAGAGAAAAATAAGACAGTTAGATAAAATTAATAGGAGACTAAAGATAACGAATTTGAAGAGAAAAAGAAAGAAAAAGGAAAGATAGATTTGATTTATAATATTATTCTTTTTCTACTTCTTTTCAATTTTATAAATGAAGGTGAATGAAAATGTAAAGATTAAAGAAGAGTGGTGAGTAGGAAAGAAGTGATGGAAAGGAAGAGAAAAAAAAAAGAACAAAGTAAATATATTTTTTTTATACAAAGATGGAAAACATGGTAGCATGTAAATGGTAAATGAGACTGTTAGACAAGTTCTGTTTATATAGTAATCACGTCTTTAGATTTAAATTTAAAATATAGTATATAAACATATTAAAGATTAAATTTTCCATGAAAGGAAATAAGGTTGAATATGTTTTTTAAAATGTACAAAATTATGTTTTCAATTTGTTACTCATGTACGTTAAGAGATCAATTTTATCATTCGCATGTTATGAATAAATTGTTCAAAAACTTATTATCGCGCGAAGCGCGGCTCAATTCACTAGTTTTTAGATAAAATAGAAAGAATAATATCATTTAAACATTGATCAAGCGAGTAATTTGTTGAGTCCGATGCCAAAAGGATAACTTTTTTCCTTCAAAAAACATAAACAACATATCAATTTTTTTTTAAACCAAAAGGGCAAAATCGCTCCTGGGG